GGTATGTCACAGACTTTCTTACGACTGTCATTCAGAGCCTAATGTGTAAGATGTTTCTACTGTCCCATTACTCAGGGAGTTAGTGTCTGGTGCGCCATTAAAAATTATTTAAATCTACTCCCCATTTCTAATTACCAAATAATCTTGTCTATACAAAATCCCATACAGTAGGTTGATGAGGTTCCATGAAAGTCTTGAAGAAGTCGAGGAATAAAACAATGTGTGGAGTTAGTTTAAAATGTGAGCGTGAGTTCAGTCAACGTGTTCGTCTGTCATCCGACATGCACGTGAGTTTGTAGGTCACCGTGTCCGTCTGTCGTCTGTCATGTACGTGAGTTCATCAGTCAACGTGTCCGTCTGTCGTCCGTCATGTACGTGAGTTCATCAGTCAACGTGTTCGTCTGTCGTCCGACATGCACGTGATTTTGTTAGTCAACGTGTCCGTCTGTCGTCCATCATGTCCACAACACAAGCTCTTGTCGAGAGTTCGAGACTGATTGGGTCTAGATTGATTGGGTCTAGATTGATTGTGTCTAGACTGATTGGGTCTAGATTGATTGTGTCTAGATTGATTGTGTCTAGATTGATTGTGTCTAGATTGATTGTGTCTAGACTGATTGGGTCTAGACTGATTGGGTCTAGACTGATTGGGTCTAGACTGATTGGGTCTAGACTGATTGGGTCTAGATTGATTGGGTCTAGATTGATAAGACGGTTGTAGCCTTGAGATTGTGCGTGGTCTCAAGAAGTCAACAGAAGGAAGATTATCCAGTATTAGATACTTCTGACAGTTGTCCATAAAATATGATACAATAATTGACAACATGTGTACACTAATCATATGCAACTTGCTTCCCATGTTATATTCTTTTTTTAACCTCAACTATATAAAAAAAAGCTGAAATGAATACAAAATAAAGATTATCTGCCCTTCCCTGTAGGGCCCATTTGAAAGCCAGCACCCGGGGCACACAGAAATGAAGTTTCATTTCCGGCGGCGTACAAAGCGGAAGTAGTTTTCGTTGTTCGACCGGTGCCTCAGCCTGACAACTCTCGGCGCCAGCTTGTCTCGCACGCGGGACTCCGCGAGATTTGTAAATGTCGGGGAGTGGCCGACTCTATCCCGGCAGAGGATCACCATTTACATGTTGATGGTGGCGCTTAGACGGATGACAGGCCCTAGTCCACTCACTCAATACACGAGCCACTCACTCAATACACGAGCCACTCACTCAATACACGAGTTAAACCACTCACTGAATACACGAGCTAAACCACTCACTCAATACACGAGCTAAACCACTCACTGAATACACGAGCTAAACCACTCACTCAATACACGAGCTAAACCACTCACTTAATACACGAGCTAAACCACTCACTCAATACACGAGCTAAACCACTCACTCAATACACGAGCTAAATCACTCAATGAATACACGAGTTAAACCACTCACTGAATACACGAGTTAAACCACTCACTCAATACACGAGCTAAACCACTCACTGAATACACGAGCTAAACCACTCACTCAATACACGAGCTAAACCACTCACTGAATACACGAGCTTTACTTATACACGTCAAAGAGATATATAATTCAAAACGGTCAAATCTCTAGTGCCATTGTTGCTGTAATAGCGTGTACTGATGTGTCGTGATATGTACTAATGTGTCGTCTTGTGTGTCGTGATGTGCACTGGTGTGTCGTGATGTGCGCTGGTGTGTCGTGATGTTTGATTATGTAAACTGATGTGTCGTTTTGTGTCGTGTATGTTTGTTGAGTATTTGTTGAATGTTTGTTGAGCGTTTATTACATTATGATTGTGATAGATGGAAACGTTTAAATGTACTAAATTTACTAAGTGTAGTTGATAACGCTATATCGATTGTTAATTAAAGTAAATTACATATTTAAAAAAAAATGTTATTATTGTATATTATTATCTCTATAACCACTTGCGACAAAATGAAATGTTATAACACAGCAACAGGTTGTGTCTATATTTGTAGAGATACTTGCATTGTGCCGAATCATTCAGTGTAGCAGACGGGTTATATATTGTCAGGTGTAGCAGATCTATAAAAATGGGCTAAATATGACATATTTTGTGTTTTAAAATACGTCAACGATCGCTAGTTTTTGTTGCAATATCTTATTAATTTATCGCATTTAAAATTACCATAACCGTAATGTGAATAAAATTTTAACATTTATTTAAATTCTACAATATGAGAGTAAGGTAAAACAGCTAAACTCCACCTCCTCTACCCCGCCTAATACAGTAGCCTAACTGAACAGTTAGCTCAACCTTATACGGGAACAAATTGTTTCACTTAATAAAATTTTGTTATTAAATTTAAAATAGGCCTCATCATATGTGCAACATATCTAAAGTTATTCTGGAGAGTACATCTGTTTTATTAATCGTAAAGTTCAAACTTCAAAACCTAAGATGTATCAATAAAACATACGGAGTATGAAATGTACAGCATAAATCACAAGAAACTAATGCTAGAATAATTGAAACGCCTTCACAACTTAATTGGAACATTATCCAGTGCATCCTTGCAAGTCCGCGATCTGATGGTTGTACCTTGGGGTTTGGCCGTCCTCATACACACATATACACACTCTTAACGTTCTAAGGGAAACTACCCGCTTATTATGATCGAAAAAATTGCGTCAACAGGGGAGACAATTAATATTTTCTCCAGAAATGATCATTCATAACATATTCATTTAAATTATAATTTTTTTTAAATAGTTAAAAGAAAAAGAATAAAATAATTATTAAAATACTTTGACACCGATTCTGCGTATTAAATTTATTAACATGTGTATCAACTTGAATAGAAATTATATTCTATTCATGTTGTTTTACACAATATATAGTTTTAATCGCTAGTAGCTTAATTCAATGTTTGCCTCACTAACGTTGTTTCTCACTGCTGAAAAGAAAGCAATCATCGTTTTTACTTTCTCGTATAATTTCTGAATCTACTTTGATTGCATATAGCTAGTCCAGGGGTCGGCAACCTGCGGCTCGCGAGCCGCATGCGGCTCTTTTGATATTAAGATAGATAGATACTAATAATCTTAATAAAAAAAATAACATTTGAAATAAAAAAAAATGTTAGTGGCTCTTTAAAACCAGTGAAATATTGAAAATTGTAACTTTTGGCTCTTCCGCTTCAAAAGGTTGCCGACCCCTGAGCTAGACACTTGAGGTTTAATATCTCGTCTCTCCATTAAAACTCAACCATCATACATTCAGCATGTCTGTAAATGACAAACACCCTGTGGATTGGTGCATACAGGATGGTGATTTATCTAAACTGCCAAGACTCCCACAGAATTTAGATGACTTTTCAGAGGCCTGTATTATTAAAAGTGTTGATTGGATTCTTCAGTTGAATGAGCAGCAGATAGAGGATGGAACTAAAGACTTGCAGGAAACTGATATTGCAGCTGGGGTTCCCTGGGCTCAACACAGTGTCGTCCCCTTTCACAAACAGGAAATGCTTCATCTTTAATGGAATGATGAGTAAAAAGTTCAGTCCCCAGTTCTTGCAAGAAGTCAGAGCCATGTCCTTTGACAGTGTTTTGATCCAGTAGTCCCAGTTCCTGCTGATGTGGTCATCTGCTTAGGTAGATGACCATCCCATCCCTTCACTAGAACAGGTTATACATTGGCTGAATGCACTCATTGACAGCCATTTTCAGCAGCTCAAGTTGGCGGAGGATGCTGACGAGGTTATTGTATCTCTACATCAACAGATCACTCACATGTCCCATTGGCTGCTAGAGTGTAAAGCCTTACAAGGAATGTTAGCAGAGCTGAAGAGAAAATTTGAAGAGCAACAGATAAGCACAAAGATCGGAGATTATTGTATAGAAGTTATTTCATTTTAAATGGTTTTAAATTTGCAATGTCATAAAAAAAACAACAATAATTACTTTCTCGTATTAAAAAAAAACAAACTACAGATCGTTTGCCGCCATAGTATTATTTCATACATTAAAATAGAAGTGTTTCCCAATCCGATCCATCATGGAGCTCGTGAGGTTTGTCATGAAGCTTAAGTCATGATACAGTCACCATAGAGGTGAAAAGTGGAATACAAATTACAGGTGTTTATGTGAGCCTAAACACACATTTAAAAGCAGTAAAGCTTAATGTAAAAAAAATTTCATAAAAAACGTTTTAATAACAAGCTTTTATGTACTAGTGCACTAAAAAGTAGAAAATAAATTATAGACTTCTATTTAAATAACTATAAAGAAAAGCGTGTGTCACTTTAGTATCTATTGGATACTTTTACAAATGTTTATGAAGCTCCCCGACTCGGAAAAACATAGTTTTGCAATCTTGTTCGTATGTCTGTGTGTGTGTGTGGATGTGTGTCTGTGTGTGTGTGTGTATGTCTGTAAACACGATAACTTGAGTACCGTTACAGCTAGGTTGATGAAATTTCATATATAAGCATTTTATCAAAATCGTAGATCCGTATCAACTTTTGAGCGATTTCCGGTAACAGGAAGTGGAACTTATTCTACTTTTGGTTTTTCAAAAGCCTATAACTTGAGTACTATTTCAGATAGATAAATGAAATTTCACGTGTAAGGAAAATATCTAATTATCTGTCTTCTTTCGAATTTTGAGTAATTTCTGTTGATTGGAAGTAGTAATTTTCGCTATTTCCAATTTCTCAAAGAACGCTTGTTCTTTTTTCTACGAGATTCTTTTCTATTTTTAAAAAAATATAAGTATGTAAAAACTGATTAAAAAATCATGTCTATATTCCCAGTTGCCATCCTCGTAGCGTTATTTAAGAATATTCGAGAAAGTTTAGGGGAGATCACTATCGCTTTATTTAAATCGTGATCGTGTCATTTGTTGTAATTTCTGCGGTATAACAAATTATGTAGATTACGGCAGTAGGCTAATTACATGAAAAATCACAACAAAATATTTAAGATGCGTTACATTAGCTTTAATAAATAATTGTATTGACCCACATGCGATCAGTAAAATATTTGAACGATCTACTCAACAACAAACAAAGACAGCTGTTGATAAAATATTTGAATCATCTACTCAATAACAAACAAAGACAGCTGTTGATAAAATATTTGAATGATCTACTCAACAACAAACAAAGACAGCTGTTGATAAAATATTTGAATCATCTACTCAATAACAAACAAAGACAGCTGTTGATAAAATATTTGAATCATCTACTCAATAACAAACAAAGGCAGCTGTTGATAAAATATTTGAATGATCTACTCAACAACAAACAAAGACAGCTGTTGATAAAATATTTGAATGATCTACTCAACAACAAACAAAGACAGCTGTTGATAAAATATTTGAATGATCTACTCAACAACAAACAAAGACAGCTGTTGATAAAATATTTGAATGATCTACTCCACAACAAACAAAGACAGCTGTTGATAAAATATTTGAATGATCTACTCAACAACAAACAAAGACAGCTGTTGATAAAATATTTGAACGATCTACTCAACAACAAACAAAGACAGCTGTTGATAAAATATTTGAACGATCTACTCAACAACAAACAAAGACAGCTGTTGATAAAATATTTGAATGATCTACTCAACAACAAACAAAGACAGCTGTTGATAAAATATTTGAATGATCTACTCAACAACAAACAAAGACAGCTGTTGATAAAATATTTGAATGATCTACTCAACAACAAACAAAGACAGCTGTTGATAAAATATTTGAACGATCTACTCAACAACAAACAAAGACAGCTGTTGATAAAATATTTGAACGATCTACTCAACAACAAACAAAGACAGCCGTGTCCGCATTGACCGCAAGCACAGGGCGACCTTCCTGAGGTCCAGCTGTCCAAGCTTGGGCAGGAACTTGGTCAGCTCGCTGTCCAGGTTGTCCTCACAGCTCAGGAGGGTGACGATCTCGGCCGCTGACAGACTCTGGAAGGCCAGCTGCGTGTTGGCCTCAATGGGCATCGCTTTCTTCAGCTCCTCGATCAGAGCGTCTCTGTTGCAGCGCCGGAGTCTGCTCGCCTCGTCCTCGCGCCGCGTCTGGCCAATCACGCGCATCGGGCTGAAGATGTTGCTCATGTCTGCTGGCGAGGTCGTGCTGTCTGCTAGTGGAGTTCTGGTGTCTTTTGGTGGGATTCTGGTGTCTTTTGGTGGGATTCTGGTGTACACTTGCGGTGTCCTGCTTTCTACTGGCGGGGTCCTGGTGTATACTTGCGGGGTCCTTTTATCTGCCACCATAGCCCTCCTCCCTGCTATCCGAGTACGTGGCGGCAATGGCGGTCTAACGCTTCTTTTATTTTCTGGGCGAGGGTCGGGTCCCGAGTCATGTGACGAAGGTTTTGTTTCACCCTCAGCAAAATAGTCGGAGTGACGATTTTGTCGAATGTCATCTTCGCTGTGGTCTGATTTGACGGAAGACACGCCCGAGTCAGCTGACTCATGTGTTTGACCATCGTCCAACTCGGGCAGCTCTTGGTATACATCCAAGGGTTCGGAAAATGAATTGGAATATTCTAGAAAGTTATTTCTGTCATGTGTTAGAGTGCTGTTGCTGTAGTGACATGATCGGTTATAAAAACATGGCGGCAGTAAAGTCTCGTCCACGTCGGAGATAACCAAGTTTTGATTTCTTAAGATCAAAACCTGAGAGTAGATGGAGTCCCGTGCTGTGACGTAATCACCGTCCACCTGGTACCGGTCGTACACGTGGGGGTCAGACTGACGGGCGAGGCTGTCGTAGGGGTAGGTGTCGTCCACGTGCACGCCGCGTCGCCTGACGCTGGGAGTCAGGGTTCGAATCTTCTTGTCGTGTGACCCTGCAGGTCTACTGTCGGAGTTTCCTGCAGCCGTGGACTCGACAGTGTGAGACCCACCCTCCCCCAACGGTCCCGAGTGTCGCGAGACTTGAGACGTTGGTCGCCCGGGCACGGCCGGGATGTGGATGGAGTCTGTGTCTTCATCCATGCTGGCGATGTTGGAGGTGCTGGACCAGAGGGGCTGGCTCTCTGCCGAGCTGGGGGTGCTGATGGAGACACGGACCCCGGGGACTTCCCCGCTGGAGACATGGACCCCGGGGACTTCCCCGCTGACCACGTGCACCCTCTCCATCACACCCTCACGAAATCCCTTCAGACGACTCACGCCTTCATTGCTGACGTCACGACCGCCATCTTGTAGTCCAGTGACAGGTGTTCCCCTTGCAGTCTGGGAAGACCCAGATTCGCCATGACCCGAGTCTGAAGGTTGAGGTTTACTGTGTGGAGCGACTGTGTGTTTGGATGTATCCACCTGTCGTCTGCCTGTAGAATCGTCTGCTGCTGTGCCACCAGACGGCGCCACCAGGATACAGAAGCTGCGGTCTGCCACACTGATCAGCAGACGTCTGGACTGGCTGGAACTGATCAGGGAGCAGGACTGACCTCCACTTCTGTTGAACTTTGAACGTAGGGTGACGTGTCCATTCTGTTGTAAGTTGTCAGACAAATTCAAGTCATGCATCACCTCCATCATGTCCTCCCTGCCATCGTTAACTACATCGAATGTGGTGGTATCTTCTTCAGATATATCTCCAGGTAGTTCAATGACCTAAAACATAATCATGAACTACAATGAATAACCATGAAATAAGCTCTGATTATGCTACCACATAATTATTAATAATTTACAAACTAACGAAACCCAGAAGTTTAAACAATGTATCAAAGCGAAAGTGGTTTCCACGGCATGATACTGTATTCCAGTATAAGAGCTAAAATTGTAAACAAAGCACCCCACTAAAAGACCTCAGAATGTAAAAAAGTTATTTACTTTGAGACAGTGAAACATGTGTGTGTGAATGTAAACAATTTGTAACATGAAACATGTGTGAGTGAGTACCTTGATGGACGTGTGTGAGTGAGTACCTTGATGAACGTGTGTGAGTGAGTACTTTGATGGACGTGTGTGAGTGAGTACTTTGATGGACGTGTGTGAGTGAGTACCTTGATGGACGTGTGTGAGTGAGTAACTTGATGGACGTGTGTGAGTGAGTACCTTGATGGACGAGCTGTATGTAGCACCACGTGACCTACAATGAAGTAAAGCATTTCTCCAGAACTTGCTGGACGTCACCTCTAACGTGTGGTCAGCCACTCGAAACTTGACGTCAGTACCTGTTGGGGGGGTGGGGGGAATTAGAAGGTGTTTCAGGTCAGTCACCTGTCATATGTGTCACCTTACATCACCTGTGTCCCAGCTAGGGCAAGCTGTACAGACACTAACAAACTAGACACCTACAGCTACTGATATCTGTCATATCATAATACTTACGTTTGTCCACATATAATCGAGATTGGATTACCTCCAGCCTACTACTCACCTAACGGAATATCCAGACTAATCGAGTGACCGCCCCTGACCATTGTGCCGGTGACTGTGGTCACATGACTGGAGTCTTGTAGCAGGAACATGCCCGTGAACTGGCCGAGAGTGGCAGGTAACCAGCCCTGTACCAGGTACACGACTACAGGTAAGCTAAATCTGGGGACAGATAAAGTGGCACCACATACACGACTACAGGTAAGCTAAATCTGGGAATAGATAAAGTAAGCAGAGCTGGATATCAGGTACACGACTACAGGTAAGGTAAACCTGGGAGTAAGATAAAGTGAGCAAAGCTGGATATCAGGTACACGACTGGATAATCAACTTATTTGAAATATAATTCGTGTTATAATCTATAACATATACGTGCACGATATATGTATTTGGACACATATCCAATTATCGGACATAATCGATCATTGTTTAAATATTCATTACTGCAGCAGGAGGTGTCACCTGTCGGAAGTCTACCTGGCCAGTTATTTGATTGGTTCATTTTCAGGTGTCTAATAATAGAATCACAGCCTGGAAGGTTAGGTCCAAGCACACCAACAATTTATTTACATTTAAAAAAAAAAGAAATCTCTTTCCCAAGTGAGGTTATAAAAATAAAGTTACCGTTTTAAAATGTCCCCAAATGTCATAACAGTGTCATCTGTCGTCTGGTCGTCATGTGAGATGGCATACAGCAGACAAGGCGTGTCGTCTGTCAGCAGCAGACTGGTGTCGCGCTGGTCCTGGAACATGAAGCACCGGGTGCCCGGGGTGCCGATGTTCTCGAACACGTGGTGGCTGGCCAGTGTCAGCACCTCCCCTGACAGGACCCGGTGGGGTACCAGCCTGGCCTGGTGGTGCTGGCGTACCATCTGGGGACAACAGGCGCACAATCAAAGTCTGGAACTCATCGGGAACATTGGCATGGGGACAACAGGCGCACAAAGTCTAGAACTCATCGGGAACATTGGCATGGGGACAACAGGCGCGCAAAGTCTAGAACTCATGGAGAATATTGGCATGGGGACAACAGGCGCAAAGTCTAGAACTCATCGGGAAAATTGGCATGGGGACAACAGGCGCGCAAAGTCTAGAACTCATGGAGAATATTGGCATGGGGACAACAGGCGCAAAGTCTAGAACTCATCGGGAACATTAGCATGGGGACAACAGGCGCAAAGTCTGGAACTCATCGGGAACATGGGCATGGGGACAACAGGCGCAAAGTCTAGCACTCATGCAGAACATTGGACTGGGGACAACAGGCGCAAAGTCTAGAACTCATGCAGAACATTGGACTGGGGACAACAGGCGCAAAGTCTAGAACTCATGCAGAACATTGGACTGGGGACAACAGGCGCAAAGTCTAGAACTCATCGGGAACATTGGACTGGGGACAACAGGCGCACAAAGTCTAGAACTCATCGGGAACATTGGACTGGGGACAACAGGCGCGCAATCAAAGTCTAGAACTCATCGGGAACATTGGCATGGGGACAACAGGCGCAAAGTCTAGAACTCATTGGGAACATTGGCATGGGGACAACAGGCGCAAAGTCTAGAACTCATCGGGAACATTGGCATGGGGACAACAGGCGCAAAGTCTAGAACTCATTGGGAAAATTGGCATGGGGACAACAGGCGCAAAGTCTAGAACTCATTGGGAAAATTGGCATGGGGACAACAGGCGCAAAGTCTAGAACTCATCGGGAACATTGGCATGGGGACAACAGGCGCAAAGTCTAGAACTCATCGGGAACATCGGCCTGGGGACAACAGGCGCAAAGTCTAGAACTATCGGGAACATTGGCCTGGGGACAACAGGCGCAAAGTCTGGAACTTATCGGGAAAATTGCCCCCCCCCCCCCCACATTTCACTTCTTGATAATGTACGAAGTGGTTTAGGGGTAGAGAGTTCGCCTTTGCTAAGCCGAAAGTCTCGAGGGATTTGGTTTCCTTCTCCGCCAATCACTGATGGGTATCGGATTTGGCTGAGCACACAATCTCGTCAAGCATGAACAGGTATGTTCCATAATGAGTTACATAACACCCCACAGATTAACATAATTATGTTATCCTGAAAGAAGGAACAGTCTAACAAAGTAGACAAAGATAGGCCTATAGACTATGGTGGCAAAGTTAGGAATAAAATAGTGGACAAAGTTAAGGCTAAAATTGTGGAAAATGCCTACAAATGTGCCGTCGTTTTTCCCCTTGCCTGTTTCAACATGAATCCTATTTAGATGAGCAGTAGATTTAAAGTTTTTACAAATAAATAGATTTACAATCCCAAGGTACGAATGCCGAGTATTTTATATAATAGAGTCCACAAAAGTCTAGACAAGCCAGAGTTATTTAAAGTTCTTTAAACATGTTTAATCACAGCGAGACAAAGAATTTTTTATCGATTTTCGCTCCGTATTGATTTCTCTTATCGAACAAAGATCTGCTTTATCAACAGTTTGATTAACTCACCAAATACGCCTGCAAAGGTTTGACCCCACCAACCAAAAAGCTCGTATGATCTGAAGACATCGCTTCCGCTATGGTGAAATATGGAACAGGAGTGGCCATTGGTTCACTGCTGGGATTTCCCGCAACACTGAAATAACCTGGTTAAAAATAGATCCAACTTTTAACTGCATGACATGTTTATATTGCAGCTGGTTCGGTAGGCATCTAAATAGCCCTAATATACTCACGTATAATCATCATGTACTTACCTGTATAGTCTACACGACCTACCCACGACCCACCTGTATAGTCTACACGACCTACCTGTATAGTCTTCGGGTACCAGAAGATCCCTGCCTACAATGCTGTACAGTTTAGTGACGTCATCCCACAGAACGTTCTGGACCGTCACCTGCCTGACGGAGCGCGTCTTGTAGAGCACCAGGGGTTGAGACCAGTCCAGGTAACCTTGGAGGTCAGCAAAGGAGTCAAGGTCACACGAAACAACTCTGGAATCACAAAGAGAGACAAATCGAATGTTGGAAGTCCAAACTTACAGCAAGATAAAGTATACCTTAGCTGAGACAAAGTATACCCCAGCTGAGACAAGTATACCCCAGCTAAGACAAAGTATACCTCAGCTGAGATAAAGTATACCTCAGCTGAATGATCACCTTCCCATCCCTACTCACCTGGGCAGAGAATATTTTTCCAGAACTTGCTCCAGACTGAGGGCCGGCTGACTAAAACTGAGGTGGGGGGTGGGCATATCCTGACCACAACATGGCCCCCTGTCCGTCATATCAAGGTCACAGTGGCCGCCCCCCTCTGGCTTCTCCTCCCCCATGTTCCACAGCCGCATCCAATCAAACAATCAAACAATCCTGTTGTGCCGACTGTGAATCTGACCTATCATTTCCGAAATGTCATTGGTCAATTTTAACCGAAACAATTTTCATCGAATGAATAATCAAAACAACATTGTAGCACTATAGAAGATATTAACAACCCAACGTATGTCTAAAAAAACACACAGTAGCTTTAAAGTCACTCACCTATTCAACCTCACAGGTGATAAGCCGATACTTTCAATATAAGTTTCACACTACATGTCCAGTTTGTGGTCTTGACCGTTGATCCTTATACTTGCTGTAACCATGGCAACGTCGTCATCTACCCAACTACTGTTGGAGTCTGTTTATGTGGATGGTGAACATCACGTGACCATCAAACACGATGGGGTGTGGGTGGGTGGGGGGTAGAGTTGAAAGTTGAGGTTTGTCTGGGGTCTACCTCGTCCAACCTGAAAATTAAACTGTAGAAATTAAACGTCCGACAAGTCGCATCGATACCTTGTTTTATCGATACTCTAACCTTGTTCCTAGCTCCTCATGTATAAACGTAGACCTAACCCTGACTAGCCCAGACTATAATCTTAATTCTAACACCGCACTGATATCAAATATCGACGCCATACCACGTGACCGTGTCGTAGGGTTTATTTAACAGCCAAACAAGGCCCTGTGTCAACAGATGGTTTACACGGGACTTTTTTAACAGGGGGTGTTGGCAGGGGGGGGGGGACTTTTTGCAGGGGGTGTCAGCAATGGAACCTGTTGGCAGGGAAGTGCTAGCAGTTGGCAGGGAAAGAAATCTGAGAACCTCCCCCAAACAAACATCCAGCTGTGGACACGCTTGATTGACTCCGTCATCGAAATATTTTCTGGCGACCATTCATGCGTGACAACATCCGTGGACTGGGCCAACAAGAGGTGCTGATGTTTGCAAACATATCACGTGACTGTGTGTGCTACTGCCGCGGACATTACGTGTTTATTACCACCAGTAAAGAAAAGTGTTATGCGTGTATCGTGTATCCCATAACCTCATCTGCCAATTGGGATTTTTTTTTTCTGCGAACCGCGCAGTTTCGGCCCCAATACGGGACTTGTATACCCCACCCCATGATATAAATTGTATACCCCACCCCCTGATATGAATAGTATACCCCACCCCCTGACATTCCCCACGCTCGGAAAGTCGTGAATAGAACTGATCTGCTAACACTGCCTCGTTTTGGGTTTACCTCCCTCGGATAGTTTCGGTTGTCACCTGATCAAGTTTAAACCATGGGTGGAAAATCCGGGTGGGAACCGAGGAAAAAATACCCGTCGGACCCCTGGAAAAAATACCCGTGGGTCCCCTGGAAAATATCTCCGTGGGCCCCAATGTAATAGTCCTGTTAGTGTTTTGATTTTTTTTTTAAATAATTTGTTGGCATTTGACTATTTCTATTCCTGTCAGTTCTAATGTTTACATCAGGTTCACGTTGTAATGTCTACACTATATTCACAATCGTCATTTAGTTCAAACATTGCATTGTATATACTCCCAACTACAGTGGAAAGGATACGGGGTGGATTTTAACGGGTGGGGGTAAAAATTCTCACAAGGATCCCAAAAATAAGGTTTCCTTAGTTGGTGACTGAGGAACGGTACGCTCTTATCACTTGATATATACACTAGCCGTCCCGGCCAGGCCCTGCACTGGCATTTGAGGTAAAAGTAATTTGTAAAGGACCGTGACTTATGTGCTCATTAAGCATCATATACCCTGCGTTGCCCGGTGTTTGGGAATGTATAAAAATTTTAAATGAAATGTCTATTTGTAAATATTACCATTGTCCCTTATTCTTCCCGGGTGCATTACTATGATCATTATTCGACATAAAGGACTGTTGTAAATTTACATTGATAGCTTTCTTTCACTCTCAAGATGTGTACATATTATACAGGATTTTTACAAAGAAGGAGCGCCATTTGTGTAAATACGTCGGGAGGGCAGAGAGTTGGGCATGTAAGGGGTAGGGCAGAGAGTTGGGCATGTAAGGGGTAGGGCAGAGAGTTGGGCATGTAAGGGGTAGGGCAGAGAGTTGGGCATGTAAGGGGTAGGGCAGAGAGTTGGGCATGTAAGGGATAGGGCAGAGAGTTGAGCATGAAAGGGGTAGGGCAGAGAGTTGGGCATGTAAGGGGTAGGGCAGAGAGTTGGGCATGTAAGGGATAGGGCAGAGAGTTGGGCATGTAAGGGGTAGTGTAGAGAGTTGGGCATGTAAGGGGTAGGGCAGAGAGTTGGGCATGTAAGGGGTAGGGCAGATAGTTGGGCATGTAAGGGGTAGGGCAGATAGTTGGGCATGTAAGGGGTAGGGCAGAGAGTTGGGCATGTAAGGGGTAGGGCAGAGAGTTGGGCATGTAAGGGATAGGGCAGAGAGTTGGGCATGTAAGGGGTAGGGTAGAGAGTTGGGCATGTAAGGGGTAGGGCAGAGAGTTGGGCATGTAAGGGGTAGGGCAGAGAGTTGGGCATGTAAGGGGTAGGGCAGATAATTGGGCATGTAAGGGGTAGGGCAGAGAGTTGGGCATGTAAGGGGTAGGGCAGAGAGTTGGGCATGTAAGGGGTAGGGCAGAGAGTTGGGCATGTAAGGGGTAGGGTAGAGAGTTGGGCATGTAAGGGGTAGGGCAGAGAGTTGGGCATGTAAGGGGTAGGGCAGAGAGTTGGGCATGTAAGGGGTAGGGCAGAGAGTTGGGCATGTAAGGGGTAGGGCAGAGAGTTGGGCATGTAAGGGGTAGGGCAGAGAGTTGGGCATGTAAGGGGTAGGGCAGAGAGTTGGGCATGTAAGGGGTAGGGTAGAGAGTTGGGCATGTAAGGGGTAGGGCAGAGAGTTGGGCATGTAAGGGGTAGGGCAGAGAGTTGGGCATGTAAGGGGTAGGGCAGAGAGTTGGGCATGTAAGGGGTAGGGCAGAGAGTTGGGCATGTAAGGGGTAGGGCAGAGAGTTGGGCATGTAAGGGGTAGGGCAGAGAGTTGGGCGTGTAAGGGGTAGGGCAGAGAGTTGGGCATGTAAGGGGTAGGGCAGAGAGTTGGGCATGTAAGGGGTAGGGCAGAGAGTTGGGCGAGAATACCTGTGCCGGTAGGGGTGGGCGCGGAGAACTCAGTGGGACATCTTAGTGTACAAAAAGGTGTTAGTTTGATCATACTGGTGGGGGTACAATTTTACCTGATGTCTCAACATGTACATGATATGAAGGGTGACTGATTTAATTTTTCTGAACAAAAATAAGTATACTACTTAAATTGCCAAGTTATAAAGAATGCTTTAAGGGCAACGTATTTTTTCAAAAAGTGGACTGAGCAGGTTTTTGCAAATAACCTTCTCAAATATTAGTTATTAGAGACTGTTTCATTTTCACACCTATTAGAAAATTAAGAAGAATTAATTTTAAAAAATGTTTTTATACACATATCATCGTTTACTTTTGTGTGTACTCAAAGAACTGAGAAAATTCGACACGCAGTTATATCCCTTTACTTGGTGAAATTGAGCTATAAATAAAGTCAATTTTTATTCATTTTCACTCTTGTTCAAAAACCGGTTAGTATATATTTTAAAGGAAGTTTTGTATACAAATCTTTTATCTTTTTATCTTTATGTATAATAAAAAAGCGGGAGAAATTAAAAGCTTAAATTCCTGACGCTGTTACCTCCCTTTAGCAATTAAAATTCATGCGTAAAAGCGCTTACTTATTTACCACTTTTATGATAAGTGCACAACATTTAAAACGTTTAACAAAACTATTTTAAAAAAAATCATTATTTATAAAAGATTGATCGCAACTGAAGCGTGAAATAAAGATGATGTTACCTGTAAACAGGATGTGTACATCAGTGAACTTACCTGTAATACATGTACAACAATGTGCAGCAATATACACACTAGTACACATTTGTAAACACAACTATGTGTACACACTATAGCCGTATGAACCCCTGTACACACGATGCCTACGATCAAACTACTTGACCTACCTTTAAAGAGATTTGACACCGTAAGTCAGCACAGTGTTTCAACTTCCTGTTGTAGATAAGTTTTATACCTGAGACACCGTGACACACCTGACACACCTTGACACACCTTGACACACCTGACACACCTTGACCTCCTACCTGATACACTAGGAGCTTCTGATTCGCAGGGAACTGCTGTCACAGGCTACATCTGCAGGGTGTTAGGGCCGGTAAGGTTCAGACAACCGTAGCCATGCAGAACTGTAAGCAGACGATTTATGTTCCCAGTTACATCCCCTTTTAAAGCCAGTTTTTGGGGAAATTATTCAATAGTGTAATGTGTGTGGGCGGCTTATGAATGGATCAAAAAGATTTTTCCAACCTTCCCTAGGTACACACACAGATATACACACGGGTACACATACAGGTACACACACAGGTACACACACAGATATACACACGGGTACACAAACAGGTACACACAGGTACACACAGGTACACACACAGATACACATACAGGTACACACACGGATACACACACAGGTACACACACAGGTACACACACAGGTACACACACAGGTACACACTCAGGTACACACTCAGGTACACACACAGGTACACACACAGGTACACACACAGGTACACACACAGGTACACACACAGATACACATACAGGTACACACACAGGTACACACACAGGTACACACAGGTACACACACAGGTACAGACACAGGTACACACACAGGTACACACACAGGTACACACACAGGTACACACACAGGTACACACACAGATACACATAGAGATACACACACAGGTACACACAGGTACACACACATGTACACACACATGTACACACACAGGTACACACACATGTACACATACAGGTACACACACAGATACACACACAGGTACACACACAGGTACACACACAGGTACACACACAGATACACATACAGTTACACACACACAGATACACACACGGGTACACAAACAGGTACACACACAGGCACACACACAGGTACACACACAGGTACACACACACACAGGTACACACACAGGTACACACACAGGTACACACACAGGTACACACACACAGGTACACACAAAGGTACACACTCAGGTACACACACAGGTACACACACAGGTACACACAGAGGTACACATAGAGCGTTGAATCATAGTTGACACTTGGGCCACGGTCTAACCTCACAGTGACAAACTGGATAAACTGGGAGTTGATAACAGAGTTATAGGCTCACACTTGTAGAGTTGGCGGTTTTAAAATCATTCTTATTAGCACATATGATTTTGATAGAATTGACCAAACTAGTAGTTTAGTATATATATATATATATATATATATATATATATATATATATATATATATATATATATATATATATATATATATATATATATATATATATATATATTTATATATATATATATATATATATATATATATATATATATATATATATATATATATATATATATATATATATATATATATATATATATAGATGCATGCCCGTATTGAAATATTAAATGAAGTTGAAATATTTAAAAAAAATAATATTAAATGATGCTGCTCATATCCATATGTAAATAATTTTAGCAAAGTCATCGCATTAAATATCCACTAGTGCAGCCATAAGATCCGCTTTCAAGATATGTACACGGTAACGTTATGTCCTTATATCAAGATATGTAAACGGTAACGTTATGTCCTTATATCAAGATATGTACACGGTAACGTTATGTCCTTATATCAAGATATGTAAACGGTAACGTTATGTCCTTATATCAAGATATGTACACGGTAACGTTATGTCCTTATATCAAGATATGTAGACGGTAACGTTATGTCCTAAGGCGACAGTTTGTGTCTAATATTGTGTAAGCTTTCATGTCTATACATCCTGTGTCGTAATTTCATTTAAAAAAAATTTCATATAAACAGTGCAGTCTGTTTATAGGCTAAACATATAGGCATTAATGGCATCCAGAAAGTAGTGCGTGTGTTACATGAATATCTTGAATGCTGATTCTATGACGGCATCTCCTTTTACTAAAGTGTGTTGTGATATTGCCCACACCACACAAAAGTGTGGTGTGATATAGCCCACACTAAAGTGTGTTGTGATGTTGCCTAATAACAAAGACACTGCCTGCTCGTGAGACTTACCCCTCCCTTCTAACTTTGATACTTTCATCTGACTGGTAACCGTCCAGTAACCGATACTTTCCTCTACCCCAATCTGGTACTTTCATCTACCCCAATCTGGTACTTTCATCTACAGCAATCTGGTACTTTCATCTACCCCAATCTGGTACTTTCATCTACCCCAATCTGGTACTTTCATCTACCCCAATCTGGTACTTTCATCTACCCCAATCTGGTACTTTCATCTACAGCAATCTGGTACTTTCATCTACCCCAATCTGGTACTTTCATCTACCCTAATCTGGTACTTTCCTCTATCCTAGTCTGGTATTTTCATCTACCCCAATCTGGTACTTTCATCTACATCAATCTGGTACTTTCATCTACATCAATCTGGTACTTTCATCTACAGCAATATGGTACTTTCATCTACAGCAATCTGGTACTTTCATCTACCCCAATCTGGTACTTTCATCTACCCCAATCTGGTACTTTCATCTACCCCAATCTGGTACTTTCATCTACAGCAATCTGGTACTTTCATCTACCCCAATCTGGTACTTTCATCTACAGCAATCTGGTACTTTCATCTACAGCAATCTGGTACTTTCATCTACCCCAATCTGGTACTTTCATCTACCCCAATCTGGTACTTTCATCTATCCTGATCTGGTACTTTCATCTACCCCAATCTGGTACTTTCATCTACCCCAATCTGGTACTTTCATCTATCCTGATCTGGTACTTTCATCTATCCTGATCTGGTACTTTCATCTACCCCAATCTGGTACTTTCATCTACCCCAATCTGGTACTTTCATCTACCCCAATCTGGTACTTTCATCTATCCTGATCTGGTACTTTCATCTATCCTGATCTGGTACTTTCATCTACCCCAATCTGGTACTTTCATCTACCCCAATCTGGTACTTTCATCTAACCCAATCTGGTACTTTCATCTACCTGACTCTGGTACTTACCTCTACCCCAATCTGGTACTTTCATCTACCCCAATCTAGTACTCTCATCCACTCTACTACCTAGTGGCGCCCCTAGTCTACAGCCACTAACTTGCTTTAGACGCCGTGTGTTATCCCAGACGATCGCGTCTAGAAGCGGTGCCAATCATCCTCTGCCATCATACGTCAATAATTAAATTAATTAGGGCAAGCGGCGGGAGATGCAGCACCGGCTCACATGAAAGAGATGCCGGCACCGGCTCACATGAAAGAGATGCCGGCACGGCTGCTACGTCATCGCCGGAATGCTCGCTACAAGTCACGTGGTGATCGCGCGTGTGGCAGTTTCCGCTGCGGCCTCGGGGTAACGGTGGTAAATCATGGCGGACAGGCAATCAGGGGTGAGTGGGGGTGGTCCGTTGATGGGGGGTGGGGGGGGGGGGTGGGGGGGTCCGTTGATGGGGGTGGGGGGGGGGGGGTGGGGTGGGGTGGTCCGTTGATGGCGGTCCTACGGCTGACGGGAACAACTTGCGGCTCGCGGCAACTCATTAGCGAGGTCTAATTAGGCTGAACGTTTATGATAGTCAACCTGCAGCCCGGCGCCATCTTGTACCGGCAATCATAGGACCACCCCACAATCAATATTTTTGTTTGTGTCTATACAGGGGAGTACTCATAGCTACCACATTGTACCACTCACACACACACATAGCTACCACATTGTACCACTCACACACACACACATAGCTACCACATTGTACCACTCACACACACACACATAGCTACCACATTGTACCACTCACACACACACACACATAGCTACCACATTGTACCACTCACTCACACACACACACATAGATACCACATTGTACCACTCACACACACACACACATAGCTACCACATTGTACCACTCACACACACATACACATAGCTACCACATTGTACCACTCACACACACACATAGCTACCACATTGTACCGCATACCAAACACACCCAGAGGTACCACACATAAATACGGTACCACACACATCACACTCAACCAAAGCTACCACACTGTATCGCGTACCACACATACACACACAGAGGCGTACCACTCACACACACACAGAGGCGTACCACTAACACACAGATGTACCACACACCAACAAGGCTACTACACCTATCCCTCACCACGCATCACTCACACACACACAACCATAGCCACCACACTGTACTCAGTGCCGCTCTCTCGCACACACACACACATGGCTACCACACACATACACAGCCACTACATATAGTTGCTCCTCACTAACTCCTACCCCCTACCTCCCTAAACCATGCGCCTCCAGAAACCAATTTGGCCAGAAATTTCTTTTATCGCCACCATGGTACCGCAAAGTCTCCCGCCTAATTCTCGCGCACCGTGTCGCCACCATCAGTCTCGTCCATAAAATTAACATCTCGCGATTATTGACGTGACTTACGTTCTTATGCAACCATCACAAACGCCTGTATTGCTCACCTCATTCAGAGAGGTACTCAACGTTCTTTTCAAGATTAAGGCAACATTTTGTGACACCAGTCATTCAGTGAAGCGTGTCAGATATTCAACCTTAGATAAATGCTTTTTAAAACCTGGTCCAATATTTCTTTTAATTATTTAGGAATAATTTCTTATTTCTTCTCTTCACATTCTCGATCATTTGAAATATCCACTAATTAGCTCAAGCTACATTTGTAACAGCTGATTCGGCAAAGTAATAAAAACACAATATAAAGGTCATTGGGGATCAGGGGTCAGACATTTTTATTCCGATAGGTTGGGGGGGGGGGGGGGGCGTGGGGTACTTCAAACTTCGGGAAAGGGGTGGGACGACGACACTAGTACAAGTATAAATTTTGTTTATAAATTATATTATTTTATTTCCGCTGGGGGTGGAGTGGACGGTTTACTGAACTGCCCGTTTCACCCCTCCCTCCCTACCCCCACAATAGACACTTAAGGTCATGTGGGCAGAACAGAAGACAAAAAAGGTATAAAATGTTCAATTGACTAAAAATATATTTGTGACGTGACACAAACGATAGTATACCATTAGTAAACTAGTTCAACTCTAAACTTTTTAGCTGCGGATGCCGTATTTAAAGTGTATACACAACATTATCTACATTTTAAATGAGGTTCCTGAGAGAAGGGGGGGGGGGGACAACACGCCGTATAAATATTTTGGTAGTTCATCTGAAAAATGTTCCCCTTTAACGTCGTCATCACGTAAATTACCAAAGATGGAATAGTTAACCTTGACCTTGTTCGCGACTGGAACTCACGAGCTGCTTGATCTGCATGTCTCCAAGTAGGTCAAAGGTCAGCCTCGATCGTGTACACGCTGGACAAAAAGATGCTACAAATTCCAACTTGACGGTGCACGTGTCGTGTTTTGAACTCATTCGTAATCAAAACGGCATTGACCTTTAACCTGACCTCACTGATGACTCACGCGGCTGGCAGACCACGACCCGCGGGTACAGCTGCACAAAAAATTGCTGGCTTAAGGAAAATCTTTTTGCTTTAATAATCTCGTCTGCTGTACCCATATTCGCGACCCCGCCCTAATCACAGACCAAGTATAAAACTGTATTTGCGATACGGCGCCCCCATACTGAGCGGCGCAGGATATGCCTGCAGTAAAAAACATCCATCTACCAAATTTTCATGACGGCTCGATTTGCGGGAAAAGCGTAGCGCGCGCAAAAGCCATCTATAACCCAAACAAACATTTGAGATTCGGTATCAGTTTTATTAAATGCAAAACATGGTTGAGGGGGGGGGGGGGGGTTATTTACGTAGAGGCTGAGCGCTAGGTGTGATAAAATAAATCACAATTGATAAACATTGATGCTGTTATCGGAAATCATGTTTATAAACCATCGTAACGGACACTTATCTTTATTTTATATCATCAATTACCCAAATTTGACGTTTCATTTAGGAGTAAAAAAATTATCTATCCCAATAGTTTTAATTAATTAATAAAATTACTATCGTGTGCTTCCACAATACTTCCTCCCCCTCCTTTCTCCCCCCCCCCTCTCACCCACAAGCGATTGTTCACAAGATCAATTATGTCTTAGTGTGCAAGTACACCACACACCACTAGACACCAGTCAGAACACCAAACCCTTACAATCGTTGGCAAGTATAGCTTTGTCTAGTACCGTTATACGTGACGTCACCCATTGGTGCAGTACGTGACGTCATTCAATGGTGCAGTACGTGACGTCACCCACTGGTGCAGTACGTGACGTCACCCACTGGTACAGTACGTGACGTCATCCAATGGTGCAGTACGTGACGTTACCCAATGGTGGAGTACGTGACGTCACCCACTGCTGCAGTACATGACGTCATCCACTGGTGCAGTAGGTGACGTCATTCGCTGGTACAGTACATGACATCACCCACTGAGAAGGTATGAGCATTGCTATCAACAAACGTATCACAAAAACGTCATTTAAATTGAACTTAGCCGCTGTTTTCAACTATTCTACTACTAGACAACGATTCAAAACAATCTATAAACACGTTCTATGTATATCTCTATATGTATATCCATGTATCTGCATGCGTGTGCCACGCGGGACCTTTAAAACCACATTGATGACTTAACAGAAGGAATAGAGAGTGAAAATATAGCCCCCATGAACCCTATACTCTAGAAGCGACATTTTATGCATGGTGTATAGATCTAGGCGTACACGTCCGATATTTTATCTTAGGAACCTGTATCAGGAGTTTATACTAGCACAACCAGGCGATATAGTGAATCAGTTGAGACGTACTCACACAGAACGATGTACAGCTTGATGTCTTCCAATCAAATTGTCGCTCACTGTGTAATGGTGGGCTTGATCTATGCAGGCCATCACGTCGTGAGCCATAAAACCACGGCCCCAGCTCTATCATGCACTTGCCCCTTTAATGCCGTGTCTCTCCCCCTGCCTCACCCCCGGGCGATAGTTCCAGCCCGACCCTCGGGTGTTACTGTCTTGTCTGATGCTTCGATCTTTATCTCATGTAGAAGATCGGGCGCCGAGTCAAAGGGAAGTTGGAGGGATTATGGGAAGGTTTGATTTACCCACGTGGCTATAAGACGTCATCCGCCATGACAGTTTTAAGATCACGTGTCTGACGAGCCAATCACGTGGTATAACGTCGTAAACTGTTAGGTGGAGTGAAGATTAAAAAAACACAGTCTGGTTTACGGAGTTCATCCTCTAAGTTATAGAATTTAGATCAGCTGCTGCCATATATAACCAACTTGGGATGGGCCGGTCTAGTAGCGTGGGTGGGTGGGGACAACATCGTGTGGTCAGAAGGTAGCTCATAGCCAGTGTGGACATGCGTCAGGATTTAAACAAGATTTACAACAAAACCTCAACATGTCTTATATAAGTAGTTGTGACATTTTAAGTGCCAGCTTCATTATCCCATCCAACACAAGTTCTGGTCAGCCGTGAAGTAACGAGCTGACCAGTGGTGAGCTGAACTCAGCTACAAATTTGTCCCAGCCACTACAATATATAGCAAGACTTTGATGTATTGAATGTACCAAGTATGGTTTGCTAGCAGTTTCTTCCAGGCATCTCTTCGGGAAAATTTTTTACCGCCCCCCGAACGAAATTTATATAATTTATATAGAAAATATATACTTTTAACAGTGTCCGGCCCCCCCCCCCCCCCCGGGAGAAAAAAAGTCTGGAAGAAACACTGTTTGCTAGTTGGGTTGGTGACTTGATTTTCACAGCCTTTACAATTAGCCCTTTGGTAATCCATGGAGCAGATGAAGTAGAGTTCATCAGTTTCTCCGACCTTGGCATTTAGTGGGGTCAGCCTTTCCCTAACAAAAATCAAGTACCCATCAGAGCTGGGTGAACTCTGGGCCCTCCTACTGAGTCATGCTTGAGACTTGAACTCAAGTCCTTTATGTCAACAATCATGCACTCTACCAATTGACCACGACCTCCCACTCTTAGATTTTAAATGGAAAATAAAACTAACACAGAAATAAATAAATACAAGTTTATTCAACTCCCACACACCACAGCCACATATAAAGCACCACAGACACATACAAGACACCATAACATACACCACACACGGAATGAGCAACAGGGAAGTGGACAGATCTAGATAGAATTTTTAGATTTTTTCTGAGGAGAAGTGTTTGTGTCTCCTACATCCTACAGGTGGGAACTAGCCAGAGAACAGGTGCTAGTCAGGTGGGAAACAGGTGCTAGTCAGGTGGGAACTAGCTAGAGAACAGGTGCTAGTCAGGTGTGAAACAGGTGGTCAGACAATGAGTGTTGAACCTGTTGTGCTGTCAGGTCTTACAGATTTTGACTAAAGCACACACAGACAGTACAGTTGAGAGGTCACCTTGTCTCAAGTTTTCACTCATCAAGTGTATCAGATCTTCTGTGTAATTTAGCTGAAGCAATTATTCCTGTAGGTAAGATTCACAGCTAATTTAGCTGAAGCAGTTGTTACATTATTCCTTAGGTTAGATACAGCTTATTTTAAAAAAATAAGACAAGTGATATGTTATTGAAAATCTTGACTACATGTGAAGCAGAAGAAAGAATCACAAGCTACATACATCATTGGCTAAATCTTGATGCTGGAAAAAATTGTATCAAACTAATTTGGTTTTTAATTAGAGCATTCTTGATTATGGTGGCTTTCATAAAACAGTGTGACCAGATCACCATAGCAACTAACAAACAATGAAAGATCCCCATAGCAACCATCAGTGTGACAAAATCTCTAAACAGCAACCTCTGGTCAGATAAATGGATTCACAGATAAGGCTAGGTTGATAAAATGAGAAGATAAACAGTTAATTAACTAAACGAGAACTAGTCATTAGTGATGAGTTGAATCAAGATTTTTTCCCTGGGTCTTCCCTCAGTGTCACAGTTCTGTTAAACACAAGCTGAAATACAACAACAATTTGCTTTCAGTCAGGGTGTTAAACACAAGCTGAAATACAACAACAATTTGCTTTCAATCAGGGTGTTAAACACAAGCTGAAATACAACAACAATTTGCTTTCAGTCAGGGTGTTAAACACAAGCTGAAATACAACAACAATTTGCTTTCAGTCAGGGTGTTAAACACAAGCTGAAATACAACAACAATTTGCTTTCAGTCAGGGTGTTAAACACAAGCTGAAATACAACAACAATTTGCTTTCAGTCAGGGTGTTAAACACAAGCTGAAATACAACAACAATTTGCTTTCAGTCAGGGTGTTAAACACAAGCTGAAATACAACAACAATTTGCTTTCAATCAGGGTGTTAAACACAAGCTGAAATACAACAACAATTTGCTTTCAGTCAGGGTGTTAAACACAAGCTGAAATACAACAACAATTTGCTTTCAGTCAGGGTGTTAAATACAAGCTGAAATACAACAACAATTTGCTTTCAATCAGGGTGGAGGACACAAGCTGAAATACAACAACAATTTGCTTTCAGTCAGGGTGTTAAACACAAGCTGAAATACAACAACAATTTGCTTTCAGTCAGGGTGTTAAACACAAGCTGAAATACAAGAGCAATTTGCTTTCAATCAGGGTGTTAAACACAAGCTGAAATACAACAACAATTTGCTTTCAGTCAGGGTGTTAAACACAAGCTGAAATACAAGAGCAATTTGCTTTCAATCAGGGTGGAGGACACACTGCCCATGTAAACATGTGAACTAACCTAACTAAAACACAGGGTCTAACCTAATCAAAACAAACACAACACTAACAAGTAATACAGACAAATAACCTTGGCAAAATAACTTGAAAAAAAAATGTAAAAATAACCAAACCTTTGCCCTATGAAATACAGACATTTAGACAACAGTTTGACAACAGCCAGACAGTTGGACAGCAGCCAGACAGTCGGACAACAGCCACCAATACCAACCTTGTCATGAGTAGAGTCTGGGTCAACAGAGAAGTAGCCAGTCCTCTCAAACTGGAACCTGTCGTAGACCTTGGCACCCACAACAGACTTGTCCACTAGAGCTTCAGACAGGACTTCTAGAGAATCCTGCACACAATGGAAGAAACCTTACAAACATTGTCTATACAACCTGATTTGTTTTGACAGAACTCTAACATACAAGTCAATAACTTTTACATAAGGAAGTCTGTGAAACAAACTTAAAAATCTTCATTGTAAAGATACAGAAGATGAAATCAAGCAAAAAAAAAAAAACTTACTGGATTTATGTCTGTGAGGAACCCACCAGGAACCTGGTTGGAATCTTCAGGGAACTTGTGCTTAAATCTGGGAACAAGACAAATCTCTTAGAAACAATCTTATAAACTTGCATATTATATATCCCATCTTTAACTAGTGATGGGACACAACTCTTAAAAAAACAACCAGCAACATAAAATCTACTCTAGTGATGCCACACAATGAAGTAACACAACTGACACCAACACCAGACAACAAATAGTGCTTACAGCCTGTCGTAGAGACGGATCTCACAGTGCTGGGGGTCTGAGACCCAGTGGATGAAGGCTTTGGGTTTAGGGGCGTCTGCTGCAAGCTTGCACGTCACCACCAGCTCCAGGGGCTGGCCTAGGGAATCCTGGGGGGAACAGAAACATTGCTCAGGGACGGGCCAAGGCAGGTAACTCTTGAAATTAAGTCTGATATCCTTTATTACCTACCCTGATGGTTTGTGAAATTAAAACAGCCAGATTGTATTACCTACCCTGATGACTTAAGTCAGCCACATTATATTACCCACTTAGATGACTTAAGTCCCCCAGATTATATCACCCACCTTGATGACCTTATCCACTGATATCACCAGCCCTGTGTACCTGAGTCCCACTGGCTGGTCTTTGGTTAAACGGAAAAAGTTTTTGTCAGCTGTCTGAAAGTGAGAAAAGGTTGTCCAAAAACTTTAGAATAAATTTAGTTTTAATTTTAGTTGTAAAATTTCATATAAAAAATACAAATTTAGAACTGTAGATGAATTGCCAGTGAATTAAAACTTTTTCAAACCTCCTTAAAGTCTTCCTGTTCTATAAATAGAACACAGCTAAATCCTAGAGAGTGAGATCCTCTGGCTTCATTGCTGGGAAAATCTGGCACAGAAATTTGCTTGGGGAAGTCAGAAGGGAGGTTTGATATAACAACTTTCAGTGGGTGCAGTACAGCCATAGCCCTGCAACAGTGACATAGTTATGTAGATTACTGGTAATGTTTATAAGACGAGGGTTAATGATACTAAACATTTAAATGTTTTCTGTTAAATACCTGAATTCTAAAGATACATGTTTTGTACCATCACTGAATATGAAAAGGCTTTAAGTTCATCAATTTAAAACTAGTTGTATGGCAAAGGTTGTTTTTTTTTTTTTTACATTTACAATTTTTTTATTTGGCTAGAGACCCAATTAAAAAATAAACAACTAATAAGAAATGGATGAGTTAAAGCATTCAGCTAAGTTATCTTTAAACTGTGACATTTAGGTTACAACATTAAGAACATTTTCCCCCTTCCCCCACCCTAACTCGCTTTTAGCTGTGACATTTAGAAAATCCCTGACACAACTCACCTTTTAGCTGTGACATTAAGAAAGTCCCTGACACAAGATTCTAGATTAGAAGGGTCGATACAAGTCTGGGCCATTGTCACACCCACCTGAGACAGATGTGAAAACATGAAAGGTTTGTTCAACAGCAGGTCTAGTTAACTATAGGAACATTAACCTATGATTAGACAACATGTAGTTCTGGCTACCTGGGCACAGAAGTAGTTGATGGCCTCTGGGGGAAAACCTCGTCTCCTCAGGGCAGTCAAGGTAAACAAACGAGGGTCATCCCAGTCTCTGGAAATAACATAAACATGACCCAGATAACAGATATCAAGACATATATCTACACTTTAAAGTTAACTCTGTCCACTTAATCAAAAAAGATTACCAGACACTTAATCTCTTACACTTTTAATCAATAGATACATAATCCCAATACAATCCTAAAAATTAAAGGTTAACTATAAAAAGTATGAAGTTAATTGAAAATTTAGTTGAAATTAAAAAATAAACATCTCAATAAATTAGCCCGTTAAAAAAAATTTAAATAAATTAATATTTAAATTATTCTAAGCTTAACTCTAACCATTTGACACACACATAATGCTTTATAAAGGATTAAGGACTTAAATGACACAGGGATTACATATAGAGGATTGAATATCTGGGGATTAAGTGACCAGAAACCTTTCAACTCATAAGGATAATTTGTCATGTGATAACTTTTTTTTTAAAGCTGTAAGGTATTAGAGATTTGTTCCATTTCTTCCATTCCAACATTTCACCTTAATTCAGCCTTATACCTCCACACTGAATGCTTTAGTTACCTGACAATGTTTTCAGTGATGAGTTTAGCAATTTTCCTTATCCCTCCACACTGAATGATTACCTGACAATGTTTTCAGTGATGAGTTTAGCAATTTTCCTCTTAGACACAACCGTGTAGCTGATGTTAAGTCTCCCGTACTCCCACTGGACAGGGCAGTACATGTCCAACACATTACACAACCAATAGTAAGACGAGCGTCTGAAATTTGGGTTTTTAATATTTAAAGATTGAAAACTACATTAACACATTACACAACCAATAGTAAGACGAGCGTCTGAAATTTGTTTTTTTAATATTTATAATATTTAAAGCTACATTAAAACATTACACAACCAATAGTAAGATGAGCGTCTGAAATTTGTTTTTTTAATATTTAAAGCTACATTAAAATATTACACAACCAATAGTAAGACGAGCGTCTGAAATTTGTTTTTTTAATATTTAAAGCTACATTAAAACATTACACAACCAATAGTAAGATGAGCGTCTGAAATTTGGGTTTTTAATATTTAAAGATTAAAAGCTACATTAACACATTACACAACCAATAGTAAGACGAGCGTCTGAAATTTGTTTTTTTAATATTTAAAGCTACATTAAAACATTACACAACCAATAGTAAGATGAGCGTCTGAAATTTGGGTTTTTAATATTTAAAGATTAAAAGCTACATTAACACATTACACAACCAATAGTAAGATGAGCGTCTGAAATTTGGGTTTTTAATATTTAAAGATTGAAAGCTACATTAAAACATTACACAACCAATAGTAAGATGAGCGTCTGAAATTTGGGTTTTTAATATTTAAAGATTAAAAGCTACATTAACACATTACACAACCAATAGTAAGATGAGCGTCTGAAATTTGGGTTTTTAATATTTAAAGATTAAAAGCTACATTAACACATTACACAACCAATAGTAAGATGAGCGTCTGAAATTTGGGTTTTTAATATTTAAAGCTACATTAAAATATTACACAACCAATAGTAAGATGAGCGTCTGAAAATTGTTTTTTAATATTTAAAGCTACATTAAAATATTACACAACCAATAGTAAGATGAACGTCTGAAAGTTGTTTTTTTAATATTTAAAAAATTGAAAACTACATTAACACATTACACAACCAATAGTAAGATGAGCGTCTGAAATTTGGGTTTTTAATATTTAAAGATTGAAAACTACATTAAAACATTACACAACCAATAGTAAGATGAGCGTCTGAAAATTGTTTTTTTAATATTTAAAGATTGGAGGATCTGCTGGTAAATATATTTATATATAGGCTATATATTTAAAAAAGCAATTTCTAGATTTAAAAAATATATTTTAGACTTTAAGAACACATATTGTTTAATGTCTACATATTAAACTGCTCTCAACCAAAAGCTACATTAAAACATGACAACCACACGACACAACCACACGACACAACCACACGACACAACCACACGACACAACCACACGACACAACCACACGACACAACCACACGACACAACCACATGACACAACCACACGACACAACCACATGACAAATACCTGGATTGGAATTCCTTAGTGCACAGAGAGTGTGAGATGTTCTCAATGGAGTCACATAAACAGTGGGTGAAGTCATACGTAGGGTAGATGCACCTAGAATAGGTCCCAAAATAGAATAAGGTCATTTAAGTTTAAGGTAGGAATAATGGACATACAATCACCTAGAATCAGATTAGGACACTCATACATTAGATATAGTAGATCAGTTATGTTACTACATGTTCACAAAAAATTTTTTTTGTCAGGACAATGTTTATTGTACAGGTGTATAGATTAGGGTTCACATTAGTTCTAGGATGGGGGGGCTGGATGACCTAAGTGTGAAGTACATATGTTTTTACAACTATTTGCTACAAACCATTTGTCTCCTGTTCTATGGTGGGGGGTAAACTTGATTCTATAAGCTACTGGGTCCTTCTTGCCTTCTTCCAGAGTTGTCTTCATACGGAGAGTTGCCTCCCCTTCACCAATTTTACCTCTCTTCATGTCCTGAAATAAAAAATGGCAGCAGCTTTAATCTGATGTAAAATATATAATTAGTATTTAATTCATATAAAAGAAAATAGTGCATTATTTTTGTGAAAATCCGAGTTATTTGATGTTAGCAGAAGGTGGCCTTGTGAGATGCAGAAATGAAACATTTTCTGGGTTACCTATGTGAATGCTATATTAGCCAATCAAATAACCATTTGCATAAATATAGACATTTTTTCTATGCCTTTTTTTTTGTCATTGCAGTAGACAGTTTTGTACAACCATCCAGAACTGGCTTAACTCATGTTGAAGCTTCAACAACTGCAGAGATTCTGAGATAAGGGGCACTACCTCAAACAACTGCAGAGATTCTGAGATGGGTCTGTCCCTCCAGGGCGAGTCGGGTGGGTTGAAACCTTTCAGTGTGTCCGCAGGCATGTGACACACATAGGCGTGGCCTCGCTTGATCAGCTCCACAGCACAGTCGTACAGCTTGTCAAAATTGTCTGACGCATGTGTCACTTTGTATGGTGTGTAGCCTGTTTAATGGAGGTATAATGTACACAATCATACAGCTTGTCAAAGTTGTCTGACGCATGTGTCACTTTGTATGGTGTGTAGCCTGTTTAATGGAGGTATAATGTACACAATCATACAGCTTGTCAAAGTTGTCTGACGCATGTGTCACTTTGTATGGTGTGTAGCCTGTTTAATGGGGGTATAATGTACACAATCATACAGCTTGTCAAAGTTGTCTGACGCATGTGTTACTTTGTATGGTGTGTAGCCTGTTTAATGGAGGTATAATGTACACAGTCATACAGCTTGTCAAAGTTGTCTGACGCATGTGTCACTTTGTATGGTGTGTAGCCTGTTTAATGGAGGTATAATGTACACAGTCATACAGCTTGTCAAAGTTGTCTGACGCATGTGTCACTTTGTATGGTGTGTAGCCTGTTTAATGGAGGTATAATGTACACAGTCATACAGCTTGTCAAAGTTGTCTGACGCATGTGTTACTTTATAGGGTGTGTAGCCTGTTTAGTGGTGGCAAGTAAGATTCATACTTTAGGTAGTCAAAATATGGAACATGTTTATTTGTTTATAATTGTTTAATAATAAGAATAGCATTTTTTGTATGTATTATATTTATGCAATAACATATGAAGAATAAGAACAATAAGTCTACTTCAAACATTTAATTTTGATTGTCCAGACCTCAATGCTAACATTTATTGCCTTAATTCACATATATATTATCTTTACATGAGCCTCTACACAAACTACAACCAAACACTAGAAGTTGGTTCTAAATTTTTTCGTTTGCTAATAGAATCCAACATTAAATCTACTCACCTAGCCACTCAACCATGTCTTTGATGGCCAAGAAAAACTTCTCTTCCTCCTTTTCTGGGTTGGTATCATCATAACGCAGGTAACAAAAGCCACCCATTTTCTTTTCAATGAAAAACAAATATTTTTAGAAACATTAAATATTTCAATATTATTCGTATTGAACAATTATAAATTTTATTTCTAAATAATCGTATTGAGCAAACTGCGCTAACCTTAGCGTAACCAAAGTTGAAGTTGATAGCTTTAGCATGGCCTATATGGAGGATTCCGTTAGGTTCTGGGGGAAATCTTGTAAACACCTGCAGTAGGAAAGTGGTTACAGTTACACTACAATTGACTATGACATGTCAGGCAGCAGGATCAGAGGCAAATTTTGACTCACCTTACCACCTGTCTCTTCCAGGTGTTTCTTCAGTAACTCCATTGTTTTGGGTGTTATCACATAGCCATCTGTCTTGTAGTTTTCACCTGGTATCAAAAATGTTTATTTTAGCATAGCATACACCTTAATCAACAAGAGCATCCCATAATTTTAGCATAGCAAACACCTTAATCAACAAGAGCATCCCATAATTTTAGCATGGTGACACCAGAATCAATAAGAGCATCCCATAATTTTAACAAGGTGACACCTGAATCAATGCCAACAACCCATAATTTTAATAAGGTGACACCTGAATCAATGCCAACAACCCATAATTTTAGCATGGTGACACCTGAATCAATAAGAGCATCCCATAATTTTAGCATGGTGACACCTGAATCAATGAGAGCATCTCATAATTTTACCATGGTGACACCTGAATCAATGCCAACAACCCATAATTTTAGCATGGTGACACCTTAATCAATGAGAGCATCTCATAATTTTACCATGGTGACACCTGAATCAATGAGAACACCACATAACAATCAGATTACCCACCAGGCTTGTGGAATCTCAGTGCGTCACCCATGACTTCAGCAAACCCTTTGACTTGTCCGTCCTCTGATACAGCTGTAGAATATACAATGATTTTAAGTCATAAACAGATCACAAGGTCGTGTAAAGGAATCCTCCCTCACTATCTATACTTAAAGGTCAAATCTGTACACAAATATTGTAATAAAAATTGGCTGTTGATAAATACTAGCAGTAAAATAAATATTTAATTTCAAAGTACACAAGTTGTCTATCATTGCCATAAGACTAAGTAAATTTGTGCTGCCTAAAACGTTCACCTTATCTATTTATTTTATTTATCTTTTTATTTAACGGCAAATGAGACAGTTTCTCAAACTAAATTACTTTTTTTATTACAAATTCTAGCTGTCCTTGTGTGAAACAAACTCAACTAATTGTGTAAATACTGAGTTATGTGCCTCTTATAGTGTAAGGCCTCTCAATGGATGCTGCAATACTACAGCAAGAAACTGTAGTCTGTTATCCAACATTGCAGCATTGACCTTGACCATAGATAAAAATAACTTGACCTAGATAATGACCATGTCTAAAATAGACTATTTATAAAATGTCATGCCAACATTATACAATGCTAAAGAGGTCATTAACATCTATACCATACTTTCCCCAAATAACTGAATTCTACCACAGACCATAATAAGATTAAAAATTTTGCTTTGACATTTTCAGTATACAAAGGGGTTTAATTCTTTGAAAATCTGTCACCATATGGCGAATGTTTTTTTTTTTATTAACCAGCTCACCATTATTATCACTCTCTGCTTTAGATGGGGTATCTGTAGGCTTTGTGGGCTTAGGTGCAGCCTAAAGTAGATTTTAAAAACAACCAAATGATATTTTAGTCCATTTATCAAGCGGAAGGAAGAAAACAATAAGATGAAAGCAGTCTAGTTAAAAAACTGGGGATTGTACCCATACATTATTATAACTTGACAGAAGATTTTACAAACAGAAACTGTAAATAATCAAGTTATGAGTGAAGTGTACATACAAATCAATATTTTGTAACAAACAATCATTAGGTAGTCAGAATTAAGCAGCTAATTAATTAATACATGTATTTACAATTATAAAAAGTCTTACTTTCGACTTTTGGGGTTTTTCCAAATCAGCATCGGTTTTTGGTCCAAGCAGATCCAGGATCTGGGGAAAGTTTTTCAAAGGTTAGTTATTTATTTACCTGCATGTATAGTGGAAGACAACTAGACAATTGCTCAAGTTAGCTATTTATTTACCTGCATGTATAGTGGAAGACAACTAGACAATTGCTCAAGTTAGCTATTTATTTACCTGCATATCCAATTCATTCTTAACCGCCTTGCCGTCAGCCCATTTAATTTTTGCTTTGATTTCACCTAGAGAGAGAAAAAGTTCAGTACATGAAACCTTTGCTTCTTCCTTGCACTTAAACTTTTCCAGACACCCACATTAAAGAAACATACCCAGCATAGGGCCTGTGACGTAGTGATATCTTTTCTCAATTAGAGCATCCTTATGTTTCTTGATGACCTCCTCGACCTGCGCATGATAGAAACATTTAAGTCATGAACTTTTTTCACTGCAGTACTATCAAATGTGTTGTCATGAGATTACAACTTAAAGCTGATAAAAACATTAGAGACATGAAACTTTTTTCACACCAGAACTATCAAATGTGATGTCATGAGATCACAACTTAAAACTGTTTCAGTTTTTATACACAAAAATCAGCTATTTGCAGAACTGTTAATGTGCTCAGATGTTAGTTGTATAAAACAAACAAAATTTCAAAAATTTATGAAAGAAACATATTCATTATTTCACTATACAACCATTTGCTACATAAGGTAAGAAACTATATAATAAAAATAAATCAATACAAAAAAGAATGCCATTATTTAAACTAGAAAACTAACTTACAGCAGCCTCAATCTCCTCAGGTGTGACAACAACACCAACACCACAAGCCTCATCAAAAGATTTCAGATTGACGTCTGACCCAGGATTGTGCAGAAGGTAGTACAGTGCAGCTGGACAATTTTTAGAGATGAAGAAAAAATTCATATAGGCCTGATAAAATTTATAGAAAGTGGGTGAATAAGTTTGTAACATTAATTTAAGTGTGGTTATTATATCTACCAACCATTTAACTGTTCTTCAGTTGTAATTTTCTTGCTAGCTATGTACTGTACAATGAAGTTCTGATGGTTTTTAATCTGTGCTTTAATTTTAGTGGCCAGAATGTAGAGTAGCTTTCCAATGTCTTTATGTCTTGCATTTTCACCACAGAGCTCGTCTGCCTGCCAAGGGGAAAAAACTTATATTTTTAAGAAAGAAATGTGTGTTTAGTTGGAATTAAACATGAACAAATTTCACAAGTTAACCTTTGTTTTTAGTTAGGTAATGTAAGCAAAAATATTTCACTAAACATTATCCTACTTGTGTATAAAAACTAATAGGCCTAAGCCTAAGCTTTACTGTGGTAATAAAGAATAAAGATTAAACAATACAAAAAAGCATTTAAGAGAATATGTCTATATGTTCAACCTATTAGAATTTAGATCTAGATCTATATCTAAATCTTAGGCCTACATTTTTACCCCAGCATTTTGGCCACCTAAGTAGATTTCAATATGATTTCATTTTCATCATCAACTTTTTCTTATAAAAGCCCTAATCAAATATTTTATAATTCAGCCAATAAATAAGCAAAATTTCGGGCTTAAATAATCATACAGACTGAGCGTAAAATAATGGTTTCACCTAGAACCCCTCTCAATACAGAAAGTTTTTTATAACAGAGATTCTTTAAAAAAAAAAAAAAAAAAAAAAAAAAAAGAAAAAAAAGAAAACAGGTCGTAACAAACTGAAGAGCAAAAAGTAAATACAAATGCAACCTTTATATTTTTAAATTTAATTACGGGTACGTACAACTTTTATCAACTGTTTGAGACTTGTACTGAGTTGTTCATTCTTCACAGTTTCTTTTGCTTTCTGCTCTGTTAGACCGATGCTTATAAACAATTCCACGAGATTCTCCGCCATGTTGACACCTTGACCCGGAAGAAAGTTCAACTGTTCCGCTAATCTACAAAAGACGATCAATGTAACAGAAACACAATAACATTTTCTCAAATAAAACATAAAATTAACAGCCTTCAGATATAAAATACAATTTAAGAGAAAAAAGTGTTTATTATTAGCTACATATACAGAAAGCAAATGTGTCTATTGTCTTTTATTTTCTTAATTTTAAGCCTTTAAATTTAAAAGCTTAGGCCTATACAACATTTTTTTTTTACCCTACATTTATCTTGAGTCGGAGGTTATCATTAAACGACGTAATGCTTTTTAAAACGTCCTCCCCCCACTCTCCCACCTAATACATCGTCACACAGCGTAACAAAAGCCAGCCCCTTTCGCTCCAGCCCCGCTTCAAATTATATCATACCTTAGCCTCCTTAGTTGACTTTTTTTTTTTACTGCGCTTTCTTTCAAAAATATTTACTGAGCTCTGTTTCAAAAAGTTAAAGTTAATTGATAATTTTTATTTTTACTATTTAGAAAAAAAAACCATCTACAAAACGCGAAATAACTGGTTTATTTCAGGTTCTAGCATAACGTTTTGAAATGCGAAAACGTGTTTTCACACTTTCTTACCACCCCACCCCCTTCTCATAAGTCCGTCTACCCTCACTCTATGATTTATGGACGACCACTATGCTTGATCTACTAAAGAGTACCATATTCATTCTTTCCTTTCCGTTCGTTTTTAAGTTGACATCCCCTTTCCTCTAATATTAATATAAACTATTAATATAAATTAATATAAACACCCATTATTGTTGACATGGATTAAAAATACGTGCTTTTGTGTTTAAATATCGCAATCATAGAGAGAAAAAAATTTCAAACTTAAGCTTGAAAATAATTCAGAACTGTAATATTTTTAGAATCAATGTTAATACATCTATTTCTCTGCCTTTAGTGACCAAAAATTCTAAAAACATCAAATACATCCAAGATTGGGTCAAGTACGACACATTTATTTTAATATAAACATTGTGCCCAATTCAAAAAATATTTAAAGAACTATTCGTGGCCATTCCCGGCTGCGTCCATTAACTCTTTAGAGTTGCTTGCCCTTTATACACGGAGAGACTTAAACACTCCCTCGTTCTTTGTTGTTGTTTTGTGTATGACGAATAATGCTCAGAGAGACACGTTCAAAATGGTAGACACAGGCGAAAAACGTTTGAGTCAACTTAGCCTAAGGAGTAGACTTGCACGTAAAAAACAAATTGTTTAAAGCAATAAACAATAAACTAATACATGTAATACTTTGTGGACTTTATGTAACAAAATTTGATAATGCAGAGGACTTGAAAAATGTATTTGTTTTATTTTGAGACAACTTTTAAAAATTACAAATACATTTAGGCCTATTTATCTATATCCTTGAAGTATCCGTGACATTCAACTTTGAAATATAGAACCTAAGCTTTGATTGGTTATTTATTATAGGACACTCATTTATTTCTCATGAGTAGCGGGACATGTAAAACACGGAAAACTTGATCATTTGTATATAATCCAATCAGCAGGTTTTAAAATGACAATCAACACGCTGTAATTAGTGTACTGTTCTACTTACCTCCAGAGCTAAAAGACTTCCCTTTGTTTACCCGAACACAGCCAACACAGCAGCTTTTGCTTTTGAAGTCAAGTCTGCTAGAGTCCGTTGAGAAGGCCAAGGTCGCTGCTTTGATCCCCTCAGTGCGCATGCTCAACAAGGCAACTCGTGACCAGCAGCCATTCACAATAGCGGCTCTGTCTAAGAGTTCTCTATAAAACTGTATTAACGGAAACCTTCTCACGACTTGTTCTTTGATCTCCCAACTGTTGTAGACAGTGACGTCTTTATAACATGCTCCTTTGTTCTTCCGAAATCACTTTTACCCAAATTTTCAGATACTTTTTATCGGTGTTGTAAATCAAATCAGACTTGACGAGACTAATTTTAGCCTCGACCTTGACATTCCATGCTTGTTAGCAACCGTTAATAGTTTGTTACCTCTGGGACTTACATTACTTGAATCTAATGTGGGGTCCAAACATTGTTATAAAAATTAAATTCCATGAACTTTTAAATCCACTCGGAGCCTAGGGTCGGTCAATATATCAAGCGTTGTTCACTGATCACGCACATCTTAAAGAAAGGGATGGTTTATTATTTTCTTCTAGTGTGTTATGTGAGGGCAGCAGAGTTCTATAGAGCAAGTTAATTGTCACAGGTTTTCTTTTTCTTTTCTCTGATTAGTGAGGAATTGGAATGGTTAGATGTATAGGTTTACGTTGATAGTGCTGGTGTTAGGCCCTATAGCACAATCTTTAAGACATTCAGATACTATTTTCAATTTGTTCCTAATATTACTTATTTCCCATAATTTAAAAAGGGAACAATATTTTTTTAGAAAAAAATACTGTGTGTCGTGACTTATTTATGGTGGAGGGGTTGGTGTGCAGGTCCTAAAATTGATATAGTGGGATTCATATGTGGTAGCCTTATGTCCCATTTCAGTGTTATATACAATGTAATAGCGAGCATGTTAGTCATACACCATTGTTGTTATTGAAGTTGTCCCATTACATCATCAGCTCACGATGATGGATGTAGTGAGTGGTGTGTTTACAATTGTTCATTAAGTAGGTCATTATGTTCTGCGTTAGCTCAAATTAAAGCACTTAACAGAAAAATAATGTTGAAAAAAATATATTTTTTTTAATTTGCAATTCAATATAGTTACATATTTACATTATTTACAAGATATCGATTTACATTGCGCTTTATTTTAAGCAAAGGTTAGGGTTCTTGATTCGGTGATCTTCTTCCTGGGTTCAGAACACGACATACCAGGATCCAGTTGAAATATAAGAGAGTTAAGTCAGTCTAGTGCAATAAGGTTACAGCACGGGGTTGAGTGTTGTTCAGTAAACAGGACAAATCAGTGTTAGCAGCTGCCTCAGGTTTCAGCGTTGTCTGCAAGTATTTATTGACATCTGAAATGAAAAAAAAAATAAAAATAAATGAGAGATCATGCTCAAGCTGGATAACATAAACACAATATGGCAGTTCGACCCTCCACAACCCAAGACACGTATCACGTTACATATTTATTTCAGTCACCCCACCCCCTTTCAGTATAATAAAATATATCTTGGAACACCCCTCCCCCCAACACAGATATTTGAGAACTTGTGCAGTATTTTACTGTGAGTTGTGTTGGCCCCGTGTTATTGTGTGTGTTCCTATGATCAAGGCGAGTGGACGATTGTGCGGCCCTAGTGGGACATAGAAGCCAGAGAATTGTGTGTATGTAGTGTGTTGTTGTGTGTATTGTAGTGTGTTGTTGTGTGTAGGTAGTGTGTTGTTGTGTGTAGGTTGTGTGTTGTTGTGTGTAGGTTGTGTGTTGTGTGTATAGGTTGTGTGTTGTTGTGTGTATGTAGTGTGCTGTTGTGTGTAGGTAGTGTATTCTTGTGTTTATGTAGTGTGCTGTTATGACTGCGTAGGTAGCGTATAGGCTACCATCACGTGTAAAAAAGTTGTTTATGTACACTGTAATTAAGTATCGCAACAAATTGTCCATACATTGTTTTTGTATCATACAACAACCAGAGCACCACAAAGTACTAACACAACTAAAATCGTGTTGAAGTCGTTCTTTTATAACGGTTAAATAAAGTCTTAAGTAAAGCAACAATTGAGACTTTTTTAGGGGCCTACCACTATATTGGGTATGGACTTGTAATAGATCTCACAGCATATTCTCTCAGATAATTTGTCTGAGATAGTTGTGTTACTTTAATTATCCAATCAATACAAATGGCGGAAAATCGGTAATTAAACACTATGTATCTTTAGTAGTATCTCGACTGCATACATTAACGTCCTACTTGTAGACTAATGACCTGCATATTCCACAGACACGCAAATCCCAATGGCTGGTTTATCCCACATACAAGTTATCCCAATGACTTGTTTATCCCTGTGACTAGATATCCCAGTATCCTGCTAACGCCCCCCCCCCCCTTGTAGTGTGACCCCGCTGGATGCCATGACATCGAATAACGTTGCGAACGATTAGGACAAGATTACACCGAGGTGTGGCGCAAGATGCAGCACGTCATGGTGCGCACGATGCTGCACGTCATGGTGCGCACGACTGCACGCTTTGGTGCGCCAATGTGGTGAGCCGCCGATCTCCGTCTGGCGTTATGGGTATCAAATTGTCGCACGCCAGAGATAAATGACGTGGCGTCTAACTGTTGAGGTGGGTTGGGTGTGAGGGGGGTAGGGGAGAACGTAAGGGGCAGATAACTAGTGGTAAATATTCCTAACACTTAGATACTGCGCAGTGGGGTAGTCTGGTCAGGGGCCATCACTCCTGCCTACTTAAGGCTGTAAGGGTGAGAAATTGATCATTAAAAGTTGCCCCAATCAAAACGACGCTCAGCATGTGAGATAACTCGGGTGGTCTTAAATAGGGGAGAGAATCGCGTACAAAACCAAGGGAGAGCACCGCAATTAATACTCCATTGACCCCATGACTGAAGCAATTAGTTAGTTATCACCAGGGCGTGAGCAGGGGAATTAAATCTTGCAGCTAGTCTAACGGCCACATCAATTGGCCTTCAAACACCAGCCGTCCAGTTTTACATCATCTCGGTATTTAGTCATGTCAGAGAGAAGTGTGGGTCGAAAGTTGTTTTAATGTTCAAGGTTTTAGGATATCAATTCTTCCGTCACACATTTTTGTACAAGCCGGCAAATGGTGGCTATATTTACTTAAATATAAATCACAATGGAAGAAAGATCCGAGTTTAGTAACTGTCCTCACGTCTAAATGATCATGATATGTGTTCACTTCATATTTTCCTTTCAAAATGTCTTAAGATTTTTTTTGTTAGTATATTTGAGATGATATTATACCGACGCTACTAAAATTGTATTTTTACCTGTTATTTTATTTTCTGTAGACCCAATTTAAATTTATTTTAAAAATTAATAATTTGCCTAGGTTTGAAGATTGAGTACCATCGGAAAAGGGAATCTTTAATGTTACGCTCTTACATATATTCGATTTTTTAAACTTTCATTATAGTTAATTGAGTTAATTTTTTTTAGAAGTTCTTGGTGTGTAGCCTACAAAATAAAGTGAAAGTGAACTTACTCAAACAGAATCAAAGTTTAGGTGAACTTACTCAAACAGAATCAAAGTTTAGGTGAACTTACTCAAACAGAATCAAAGTTAAGGTGAACTTACTCAAACAGAATCAAAGTTTAGGTGAACTTACTCAAACAGAATCAAAGTTTAGGTGAACTTACTCAAACAGAATCAAAGTTTAGGTGAACTTACTCAAACAGAATCAAAGTTTAGGTGAACTTACTCAAACAGAATCAAAGTTTAGGTGAACTTACTCAAACAGAATCAAAGTTTAGGTGAACTTACTCAAACAGAATCAAAGTTTAGGTGAACTTACTCAAACAGAATCAAAGTTTAGGTGAAATCACTCAAACAGAATCAAAGTTTAGGTGAACTTACTCAAACAGAATCAAAGTTTAGACGCTGAACTGGGCTGGGTGCAAGGAATGAGGCGCCAAAGATCTCATCAACGGTTCGGCTGATCCGCTCCGGAGAAAACATGTAAGCGTCGGTGGGATTCGATCTCGGGTCTGTGCTTAAGTGACCGCTGCTGCTGCCCGAGTTCATTGAGTAGTTGCCGCTGTCGTCTGTTGTTCTGAAGTTGTCGCTGTCGTTTGGTGTTCTGAAGTTGCCGCTGTCGTTTGGTGTCCTGAAGTTGCGGCTGTCGTTTGGTGTCCTGTAGTTGCCGCTGTCGTTTGGTGTCCTGAAGTTGCCGCTGTCGTTTGGTGTCCTAAAGTTGTGGCTGTCGTTTGGTGTTCTGAAGTTGCCGCTGTCGTTTGGTGTCCTGTAGTTGCCGCTGTCGTTTGGTGCCATGTGTGGTGTCGTCTGACCAACTCCAACGTCTTGTTGCTGGCCTACACTCTGGGAATTTGTCAGCTCTCGACTCAGCAGAAGAGTGGAGTGGGATTCAACAGGAGTGGAGTGTAGGAGCGGGGTGGGAGGTCGGGGCTGTAAAGGGTTAACATCTAACGGACTGGGGGAGCTCTTGTAGGGGGTCCTTTGATCGAGGACATAGTGGGTGCCTTGTTGTGGAATCATGAAGCGAGTTTTTGTTTCGACTGTTTGGGCTGCTGGTAGCGGCCAGTTCAGTTCTGGTTGACCAATCGCAACAGTTGGCTGGACGTAACTAAAGAGAGAAAGACGACGACATTAGAAAAGAAGAAAAACTAAGTAATATATTCACGGTAAACATCAATAGTGATGAATAGTGCCATAAACTGTAACATAAACAAAATGATTAAAGATATTTTTACTGAATTTAACATAAACACTATCAATAATTTTCTGGCCTTTAAAATAAAATGATTTTTTTTTTAAAACTGAAATCTTCGTACCTATAGTTGAAGTGATCAGCATGGAGAAAGTGGTCGTGGTTGATGGAGTGTGGTAGACAGGTAGTTGAGGGTTGTGTGTGGTGTTGTGGGTGATGTTGTGGTTGATGTTGTGGCTGATGTTGTGGGTGCTGCTGTGGTTGATGTTGCTCCACCGTGTCGAATACCACAGGGCTTCTGTACCCTAGAGATGTGTCTGGTGTGTGACCAACTC